TAAAGTTGTCATTTCCATTAGCGTTCACCGCTAAATGAGAAGTGGAAATCATTATTTTTAGCCAAGGATTTATTTTGATTTATAAGATAGAATAGCTCATATTGGTTTGCGCTAAGAGGGCGAGCAGTTTGGAAACTAGGAGATCCACAAATTTTCTGCGACCAACATCTAATTCCGCAAGTGTAGATTCTGAATTATTAACCGTGGGGCTACTTTGTCATATCACTGTTATGATTATAAAACAGTTTAGAGTTGCTAATCTTCCAATTTTCATGTTATTCTGGAAGAAGGAACAGGAATAGCTGTTTTGAACTCATCAACACATGCACTTTTCTTCGAGCTTTCGTTCCAACGCTTCAATAAAACACTGTAACTTTGAATCTCGGCAAAAACCCGTTATGCTTGATTTTCAGTATTACACGCTAACAGTAAATTCTCAAGATTTCTATCCGGTTATGTTGCATTTGACGCTTGAGAGGGCCGTTTCGTGTGCTACTACTACGATGTTGATTCATATTTTTTTCCTCGTAAACCTGACCGAAGCTCTATTAGTTTCGTTTGTGAGGACATCAAGGAGCTAAGGACACCTTTATCATAGTTCCTACCCATAATTCTCCCTTTTTGTAACAGTCTTTTTGGACATGCACCATCGCGTCCAAATTCAATTTTCAAAAGAAGAAACTTGTCGAACCTAGATATCTAATGAGTTATTTACGTATGCTTGTCCTCCTAAAGAGTATTCAGAGTGTTTATATTGCAGATCGAGTGTCTGAAGTACGAAAGGAGGCTGTTCATCTACTATCCCAAATCCTTGCTCGGCTTGTTGATTATGAATGGTCAAACATAACTACCAAGCAAGAATCTAGTGTAGATGCTCCATCCGGGGCAACATTAACAGAGCTTTTCGTACACGATCTAGTTAGTGGTTTCGCAAACACACAGAAATGGACTCGACGGCAAACGTGAGTTGAATTGTTTATACTAGTTTGTATTAAAAAATTCCTCAATTTCGTGTATACTTAATTCATTGTTTTTTCTCAAAAATCAATGATATTTTCCAAAATTTTGATAAGAAACTGAATTGACGTTCATTATCTTTAGTTTCGCCTACGTTTGCGAACGTGTTCTACTCGATCATGCCCTGTCCATGGAACAGTTCCGGTACTTCCTCCTTCCCCACTTGATAGCTATGGCTGATGACAGTAAGTTGAAGGATTCGAGTACGGGTTCTAATAATGCATATGTAATTGCTTACTGCACACCAAATTCGCAGATCCGATCTGCCTTCCTTACATCATGCGGGTGTGTGATGCAACTATATCTGCAAATTAAAACGACTTAATATGTTTAACTTTAAGACTTGGAATTGGATTTAAATTCCTTTAAGATGTCATCAATGTGCGAATAGCTGTATGCCGTGCCCTTTCACTTTGTGACTCTACAGTACAGTCGGATGCCATTGCTAGTGATTCGAGAGGCCAATCTCCCTTGACAGTTGAAACCGTCTTGGAACGTTTAGCAGAAGATTCTGACATGGATGTGGCGCGAGCAGCTCGTCAAGCGATGGGACGAACCATTGGCAGTGAAACTGTCGACATCTCTATGCGAGGATTCCGCATCCGAGAAAAAGAAAATTCGTTACTTGATGCGCAAATGATCGATAACTATGAGGAAGACGATATGAGCTTATGTTCCGATTACGCAACTAGTGAGACGTCGATTCGCTCCACGCAATTAGCGCACCACGAGTAGTTTTTCATGTATTGT